GCTTTCAACCCGGGCGGCTTTTCGCGGGCCTGCCGCGCTTTTCTGAACAGGCCAGGGGGCGAGCTTGACGAGGGGCATAGTGCGCCGCTGCAGCGGGAAGCTTGGCGGCGCGGTGGCAATGAGAATGACGCGCTGGAGTTCCTGAAGAGCGCAGACCAGCAAGACAAGTTCGAGGATTTGCTGTGGGCCGCGGACGCGAACGCCTTAGACGGCGAGCGAAAACGAAATTTGGACAAGCAGTCGGAGAAGCCCGGCCGAAAGGTGCCATCGGTTGCGCGCGCTTCGAGGAACGGCATCTTGGGCCAGCACATAAGGGGGCAGCGAATGGATTCGGCACGGGCAGCCAAGTGCCGCCGAGAGCAGGAGCGCGTGCGGCACATGGGCCTGCGCCCCCTTGCGATCCAGAGACGCCCTGACCTCTTCTCCCGCGGGCGCGGGCGGTTGTGGTGGGGAGAGGGCGTCGCCGACGAGCAGGCGAAAATGATTTCTCACGTCGGCGACGAGGACGCTTTGAACTCATGCGTTGAGGAGCACCGAGATGAGCTGCAGGCGGAGGTCGACCGCGGGAAGTCCAAGGCCAAGCTCGCGCTGATGCAGTGCGCGGAGGGCGCGACGCCCCGCAGCTTGAAGGGGGGGTTGCAATGGTTGCGCGACAAACGACGGGCGCTCCAGGACGCCACCCGCGACAGGCGCAAGTACTCCCAGCGCTTGGCGCCGAGGGATTCTGCGGCGGGTGTGACCGCTCGCTTATTTCCGACCCCGACCATCAGCGCTTTGCCGTCGCTGGCGGGCTACGCGCCGGGCTTCTACTCCATCGGGCAGGGGCGGCAGTACTTGGTTGTGTTCATGGCTGGCATAGGGGCCGAGGTGAACCTGATCCCGTTGGACCCTACTGGGGCGCATGCTCGGCGGTTCTATTTCCACGTGCAGCGGCGCCTGGACAAGCAGCTCGTCACGCCAGATGCGGCTTTCCAGGCTGCGGGCCTTGAGTTCGATGCTGAGTTCACTCTGCAAGCGCGCGCCATGAGACGCGTCGCTTCAGACGAGATACGCATCGAGCCGGAGCTCCTGACCGCCGTGCGGGCAGTTAAGTCCACGGTGAAAAGAGGGCGACCAGCGGAAGACTGCGGAGAGGAGGGCTGCCCCTCATCTGGCGACGATGCGCTCCATAGCGACGACAGCCTCATTGAATCCGTTTGCAGCAGCGGCGAGAATTCCGATTTGGAGCCGCCTGGCGACGTCCCACTGCCAGGGGACGAGGATGCAGAGTGTGATGATAGCGACCCCGACGAGGCCGCCGTAGCCTTGGCTCGTGCTAAGAAGAACGAGCACGTCTTCCACACGAACGGGTATTCCACATTCGTGAACAACCCCAATTTCCCGAACCTGCTGGTGTGGATTATTGCAAAATGGTGCCAGCTGGCACTCTTGGGCGACGTAGACAAGTCCAAGACAATCAAGCCTGAGGTCTTCGGGGAGGATAAGCTGCACCATCCAGTCACGGCGCTCGCCCTTACGGCCTGGATGCTGGGCAGGGTGGCGGTTAACGGATTTGTGAACAAACGGTCATGCCGCCGCCACCTGTTTGCCAAAGAGCGGGAGGACGCCATGGCGGAGGTGGTCCGCATGAGCTCCGCAGCCGCGCCAACGACGGGCAACGCACTAGCAGACGATTTGATTCGTGGGTGGGCGTCTGGCTTATTGTCGCCAGCGTAACGCGTGGCTCTAATGATCACGTGGAACAAGTTTCGTCATTGCGACGCAGTGAAATAGGTTGGTTGGTTGGTTGGTTGGTGAGGTTGGGTGGTTGCTTGTATGCCGCCGTGGTGGGTTTTTCAACAGGAAGCTGTCTGATTGGTTGGTCGGTTGGCTGGCTGGTTGGAGGGCCGCACACGAGGGCGCGAACATGAGAGACACGTCTTCCAAGGTCTACCCTGGGTTTGCTGGAGCTTGCCCTCGACAGTATCAAAGCTTACCCTCGCTGCTCCGAGGTCGTTATTTGTAGCAGAGGAAAAGGAGGGGGAGAAGGAGGAAGGGAGGAGGGGAGAAGGAAAGGGACGGATGAAAAGGGGAAGGGGCGACAGAGGATGACGAGGAGGATGATACATGAAGAGGAGGGGGGGAAGTAGGAGGACGAAACGGAGGAGAGAGGAGGACGGATGGGGGGAGGGGGAGGCGAGGAAGGAAGGGGAACGAGGGAGAGGAGGAGGGGAAGGAGCAGGACGAGGACGATGCTGATGATGATAACGATGGTGCTGGTGACGACGCCCAGCGCGGCACCGACACGCACAGGATGCACCAGATGAAAACCCCACTGGCTCCAAGATGCTTGCAAGACGACCCACGACGGCCCGAGCAGCAAAAGCGCGCAACAACGTTTACGACGTGGTCGAAAAGATCGGTTTTCGACCCCTCCTGGTCTGTCAGACTCTGGGTGAACCCATTCGGCCCTGGGAGGCCCCGGACCCACCAGGGGAGCGGGGGCCAGGCGGATGGGCCGAAGGCCTGTCAGAATATATACTTGAACCCGCTGGGCCCTGGGAGGCCCTGGACCCACCAGGGGGGCGGGGGCCAGGCGGAGAGGCCGAAGGCCTGTCAGAATACTTCGCCGCTACGAAAGTTCGGCCAAAATTCAACGCCTCCCGTTAGCGACGGGGCCCCAGTACAACGTTGGCAGTGGGCCTGCTAGGCCGCGGGGCCCCAGTACAATGTTCGGTTGAAGCATTTTTCGCTCCAGTCTCGGGCGGCACCGCCCTTTCAAAATCGAACCCGCGGGTTTCGAAATCCAGTCGAGCTCGTTTGGGGGGGGAAGTCCTAGGCGAAAGCCACATTTCGAAATCGAGCCCGAGGGTTTCGAAATCCAGTCGAGCTCGCTTTGGGGGGGAAGTCCTATGCGAAAGCTGCATTTTCGAGTTTTCGGGTCAGGGCTTTTAAAATTTAAAATGCCAAACGGTGTGGCCATTTCGAAACGGCGGTTTCGCTTGATATTTCCTAGAAAAAGCGAGTTCGAACGATTTCGAAACTTTCGGGTTCGATTTCGAAATGGCGCTCCCGCCTAGGACTTCCGCAAACATAGAATTCGAAACCTTTCTGCTTCGATTTCGAAATGGCGCTCCCGCACAGGACTTCCTCAAACATAGAAATCGAAACCTTTCTGCCTCGATTTCGAAATAGCGCCCCCGCACAAGACTTCCTGCAATATGAGGTTCGGCATTTGTTCCGTTCGAACTCGAAATGGCGCTCCCGCCACGGGGGTGCTAGCGTCAAGGTGATACCCGGCGCTCGGCTGCTCATCGGTTCTGTGGTGCTCTCAGGCTTTGGAGTGATGCTCACGGCCGTCGTGGTGTTCATCACCAATGTGATGCTCAGGCGTCGTTTAGCTGAAAACACAAAACGGGTCAAAACTTTCGTAGCGCCGATGTATAGTTGAACCCGCTGGGCCCTGGGAGGCCCTGGACCCACCTGGGGGGCGGGGGTCAGGCGGAGAGGCCGAAGGCCTTTCAGAATGTAGTTGAACCCATTGGGCCCCGGGAGGCCCTGGACCCACCTGGGGGGCGGGGGTCAGGCGGATGGGCCCAAGGCCTGTCAGAATATATATATATATATATATATATATATGAACCCGCTGGGCCCTGGGAGGCCCTGGACCCACAAGGGGGAGGAGGGAGAGAGGGTGGGGTCAGACGGTTGGGCCGAAAGTCTGTCACCAATTGGGCCATGAGACCATGAGGCCATGAGCCTTCCTCCTCCCATTCCCCCTCCTTCGTCTCCCCCTCCCCCCCTTTCCTCGTCCTCCCCATCCCCCTCCTCCGCCTCCTAGTCTTCCCCCTCCTCCCCCTCCTCTTCCTCCACCTCTTCGTCCTCCTCGTCCTCCTCCACCTCCTCCTCTTCCCTTTTCCTCCTCCTCCTCCTCCTCCTCCTCCTCCTCCTCCTCCTCCTCCCCCTCCTCCCCCCTCCTCGATAATTTTCCTCCTTCGTGTATTCGTCCATTTATCGTATTTTTTCGGGACACCAATGCCACCAGCACCATCGCAAGCATCTGCGTCTGTATTAGCGACGGGCATAGCCCTTACACCAGCACCAGCTTTAGCACAGGAGTCATCACCAGGATCAGCACCAACACCAATGCGAACACAACTGTAATCACCAGCATCCGTCCCTCCCTTCTCCAAGCCAGTTGGGCTCAAGCGCTGGTACTACCAGCCCTTTTACTTACAGTATGGTGCGCAAGCGTGTTGTTGACGACCTCGTCCAAGAATGTAAAGACCTGCAGGCGCTTGAAACCAAGATGAAGGGGTCCAAAAAGGACAGCCACGTCCCAGTTCGGCAGGGAATCCGCCAACTCAAGGAACACTTGAACAACGGGGCGCCGCACAATCCACTTACGTTCTTGCAGTTTTGCTTTTCTTGCGGGTTGGCGGCGTTGGTGGCGGCGCTTGTCATCGAAAGGGTTTGGCGCCTCAAGTGCAAAAAGGCGGGGGGTGACATCAGTTTCCCGCCTGGCTCCAGATGGCCAGTCATTATTGCTCACCCAGTGCCTTTGGCATCTTGGATCCTTCGGGAGCTTGGAAAAGGCAGCGTTGTGAACGACGCCCTTGAGAAGCACGACGCCCAACTCAGTGTCTATACCTTCCTGAGCCTTTTCCGGATTCACAATATAGTGCATACGGACGATCCACCGGTGAAGGTGTTCGTGCGTTTCTGTTCTAAACTTCGGAAGCTCTGTCGTGGCGCAGGGCTTATGATAATGCTCATCGTCGCTCTGGGCCGAGAGATGACGTTTGTTGAATGGCTCGAGGGGCAGATGGACACCCCGGGCCCCCCGTTTCACGCATGGCTGGCGTGTTACGATTGGTCCTTCCAGCATCTCGACACATTGCGATACATCGTTGTTCGGCCCGAGCACGTTTTTTTAAGCTGACGGCAAAACCAACGAGACCACCCGACTGAGGGCTTTGAGCCAGGGGAATTGGAGCCGTATTACTGCGCCAGTGTACGACATGATCGCCATGTACACCGAAACCTCCTTCACCGAGGCGGCGTCCACGTCCGCGCTGTTCGCAATGCTTACGAAGGTGAGCGACCTCCCCGAATTTCGGTCGAATCACGTTTCGTTATGGTTGGCGGCAGCCTTGGACATCCCCGCCGATTTTGGCAGCGGAGATTCTATGACGTCAGCTCTCGGTCCCAACCCAAAGAAATACAGCAAGTGGGTAGCAGCCATGGGGGTCGACATAGTGAAGCATTTTGAAGACGTGTCGGCGCACCTCGCGGGGGCCCGGAAACACATTTCGTGGTTTGACATCGATTGGAATTTCTACCATTGCCAATTCGCCTTGTGTAAGTTTGTCCAACTGGTAGGGTTTCTCGTATAGGCGAAGAAAAGCCAAACTTTGGAGTGGCGCATCGATTCTGCCGCCCTTGATCGTCTCAAATCGTGAGCTCGCCTGAATTCGCTTGCTTTGGGGCCCAACATTTTTGCCCCGCATCAGGAGACGCGTGGTAACGCACGGTCTTCTCGCAACGACGCAGCTCGATGTATGCGCGCCACTCCAGCAGCGCGCTTGGCGCCAGCAAAACAGACAGCGGTGCTCGCGCAATCCCCAAATCCAAACTAGAACTTCCATATGCGAGTTCTGGTTTGGACTTGGGCCCGCGGCGTGGGGATTTGGGGGCCCTGCCCGGCTCTTCGAAGGCACTTACCAGGCTCTGAGGAGGCCCTTGCCAGCCTCTCAGAAGGCCCTTAGCAGGCCTTAGCAAGGCTTAACACGCCATAGCAAGGCTTAACACTTAACACGCCTTAGCAAGGCTTAACACGCCTTAGCAGGGCTGAGAGAGGCCGTCAAGGCACGTGAAGGGGCGCCAAGGGTCGTTAAGGCGTGAGAAACGGCTGGTAAGGGCCTCCCAAGGATTGTTCGGGGCCCTTTCGGGGCGCGCGCAGGGCTGGCTACAGACATGCGTAAGCGCGTCGCTCGGTTCCAAGGCTCGTTTGGGGCCCTCCTGGGCCATGTGGGCGGCGCGCTGAGGCATCCCCAAGTCCAAACTAAAACTTCCATGTCCGAGTTCTGGTTTGGACTTGGGCCCAGGGCGTGGGGATTTGGGGGCCCTGCCTGGCTCTTCGAAGGCACTTACCAGGCTCTGAGAAGGCCCTTACCAGGCCCTTAGAAACCCTTCGCAGGCTATCTGAGGCTTCGAGGGTGCATCGAAAACGAAACGACCAGGAGGCCAGCAGTTGGCCTTTCGGGCCGCTTTTGGGCCTGTGTTGAACCTTTTCCTGGAGCTCTCTCGGGCCATCTTGGGCCCCCAATGGGCCACCCCCAACGAGGGGGGGGAAAGGGGGGGGGAAGGGGGGGCTGGGGAGGAGGAGCAGTAAGAGGGGGTGAGGGTTTCAGAAGTCGTTATCGTCGTCCTCAACATCCTTGCCTCGTTCAGCCATGATGCGGATTGAATGCAGAGAGAGCAAAAAGTGTCGGGGGGTGGCTCGGGTTTTCCCTTGGCATGCCTGGGCGGGACTTCGTCTCCGCGCTGTGCCTTCCTTTGCTCTCTTCGGGGAGGAAGGAGGGCCAGGTTTGCTTGGGCGCGGCTCGGGTTGCCACCCCGGCCAACGAGAAGAGAGAGCAAAAAGAGTTGGGAGTCGACCTCGCCCCCTCATCGGCCCACCTGGGCGGGGCTCTGTCTCCGTCGCGCGCCCTCCTCTGTTCCCTTCGGGGAGGGGGGGGGGCAAGGCGGGCCGGGAAGAGGCGGGGCCGCCACCCCAACCACCTTGTATATAACACAGCTGCGCTGCCGGCACTTTTCCCAGACATCCCCTCGGGGGCGGGGGGTCTGGCGCTGCCCCCCCGGCCTCTAGGGACTTGCTTGGCGCCTGTTGGGGCTCCCTTCTGAGGTCTGTCTTGGAGCACTTTGGGGCCGTTTGGGCACCCCTTGGGCCGTTTTGGGTTTCTCTCGGGTTTCTTCCTGATCTCTCCGCTTCAAGACCTCAGGCGGATCGTGATCGCATGGGCCCGCCTCGGGCCCAGATCCCTCAGGCCGCCTCAAGACTCCTCCTCCTCCTCACCTCCTTACCTCCTGACGCGTACACGGCGACGATAATGGAGGCGATGGCAACGAGGACGAGGAGCGCCATTTTCCTCGGCCTGATGTCGCCCGCGATCCACATCGCAGGGCGCGAGCTCGGCGGCTGGCGCCCCTCGCCGCCGCTGAACCCCCCGCGAGAAATCTCGCGGGAGGCGAAACGCCGCGCCGACCGCGATGCGGCAAGCGCGTGCGAGCCCCATGTGGGGGCCCGCCGAGCATGCTCGGCTGGGGCCCGCACCGCCTCTGGCGCGGGTGGGCGGGACCCAAAAAACATATGCGGCCCCCTAGGAGCCTTGAGCACACAGCAACGGAGGAGGACAGCAGGGGAGAGGAGGCTGCGAGGCGGGAAGAAACCCGCTGTCCTCACGAACGTCTACGTTTCTTCCGGATCTCCGCCTCAAGACCTCAGGCGGATCGTGATCGCATGGGCCCGCCTCGGGCCCAGATCCCCCAGGCCGCCTCAAGACTCCCCCTCCTCTTCACCTCCTTACCTCCTGACGCGCACACGGCGACGATGATGGAGGCGATGGCAACGAGGAAGAGGAGCGCCATTTTCCTCGGCCTGATGGCGCCCGCGATCCACATCGCAGGGCGCGAGCTCGGCGGCTGGCGCCCCTCGCCGCCGCTGAACCCTCCTCGTGCTCCTCTGGCGGCTCATGGCCGCCCCGTTCGGTGCCCACGGCACCGGGCCTCCTCCTTGCGCGCCGCGGGGCCCACCTCGAGGGCCCCCGCACGCACTGGCGGGGGGACCTGGCCCCGCGCGGCCCAGCGCTCCTGGCGGCGCCTCCACCACGATCCCACCACCTGCTGCGTCTGACCGCCCTGCGCTCCTGATGCCGCACTGCCAGCCTCGAGGCCCCCCTGCGCTCTCACATCAGGCCTGATCGGCCATCGCTGCCCCCGCGCTCTGAGCCTCAGGCCAACGCGACGGCGCAGCTTCTCAGACCATCGCGATGTCCGTGGCCGCCATGCTGCTGGCCACCCCCTCCGCCATGCCGCGCGCCCCCCACAGGCAACCCTGGAAGGCGTCGCTGTTCCACCACCCCCAGCGCTGCACCAGGGCGGTGTCTTTAAACGCCGCGTAGAGCGCCGACGCCCTTCCGATCCTCAATCTGTGGGAGCCTAGGTCGTTCGGGACCATGCCCTCCGCCACCGCCGACTGCATCACCACGCGCTGGACGTCGGCTCGCGTCGCGAGGTGCGCGTCGTCGAAAGCGAACAGAGGGTCGTACATCTGCGCGCCCGAAAACCTCTCCTCGGCCCAGCCCGCATAGATCTCGAGCGCCTCCACCACGCAGATGTGCCCGGTCCGATCCGCGTCCTCAGCAATCTCGATGCGGAAGTGATTGCGCCACTCGCCCCGATTGTACTGGTCGGTCTTGCTGGACCGGATCTCGATGACGACCTCGTTCGCCTCACCCCACGCGCGGGTCGGCTCGCCGTTCGCCTTCGTGGTGGCGTCAGCCCCCCGAAGCCCCTTGCCGCCCACGTAGCCGTTCTGGTCGTTCGAGACGTACTCGCTGGCCCTCAAGAGGAAGAAGTAGCCCGTGGCCACTGCGGCCGACAGAGCCGCGCCCTCCTTTGACCTCTCCGGTTGCAACTTCCGCCTGATCCACCTCATCATGCGGGGAGTGACCGGCTTCTTGCGCTTGGTGCCGCCGTCCCTCCTCCTGAGCCCGTCGATCGCCATCCAGAGCCTGCCCGCGCCCTCCGCGATGCCCCCCATGCCGAGCGCGAGGTGCTGGGCCCGGACCGAGCTCAGGTACTGCTTGATGGTGCCCGCCTTCTTGCAGCCTCGGCGCGCCAGGTGATTGACGAATTTCAGCAGCAGCTCCTCTTCGCCCCTCCTGCTCTCGGGCGTGATCTCGCGGAGCGGGCTGATTCCCCTCGCACGGCAGAAGAGAGCCCACCACCTCCAGCCGATGCTGTACGAGACTTGATCGTTGAGCTGGCCAGCTTATCGAGGATGAGCTCGAGCTTAGCCTTCTCCCAGTCCTCGCGCGTCTTGAGGTCAGTCATGGTAAGATCCTCCGGGCGGGCGCTCGCTCGAACTGCCTCAGGTCCGAGGAGGTTGGGCGGCTAGTTCTCGTACGGGCCGCAAGCCTTCTTGCTGCCCTTCTTGCTCCTGTGCGAGGTAGCCCCTGCTCTGCGGGCGTGCTCCTCGTCCGCGCCCATAGCTGCCAGGGCCCAGTCGAGCCGCCCTCCCCTCTGCTCCGGGTAGCCCCATGTCCTCACAAGCGCCTCCAGCTCCTCCTCGGCCCTCGCCTGCTCGAGGCGCCCGCTCCTGCGGTCGCCCCCCCCCCCCCGCTGCCCCGCCTGCGGTTCACGCCCTGGTCGCGGCGGCGACCCGAGCCCCGCGCGGCCCCGCGTGCCATGGTCTCGAGGTGGGTGCGCGCTCCTTCCTGGCTCGGACCTGCGCTACTCGAGCCCCTCGTGTCCGCCAAGTAGCGCGCGACCGCCTGCGTGTCGATCTCGACGTCCTCGCCTGGCAACGACGCGCGGGCCGCGCGCTCCTCCGCCTCGACCGGGCGCGGCGTGCGGGGCGGCGGTGAGCGCGGCGCCGATGGCCCAGACGATGGAGAGCTGTCAGACATGGGCGGCCCCCTGCCGAGGTTCGCCATGAGCGTCACCATCCTCTGCCTCGCTTCACCCTTCCTGGCCTCCTCCGCCGCGTCGTCCTCGTCGCGCTTGATCCGAATGGCCTGGGCCCTTAGCGCGGCCGTCCTGGCCTCGTTGCTCGCGCTCGCGTCAACCTCCTCTGACTCCGCCCGCAGCTCGGGTTCGACAGGGCTTGCGGTGCCGCCACCGCCTCCTTCATCCTCTACGGTGACTCTGCGCCGGGGCGGACTGCGGGATGCCGCCCCCCCCCCCCTCGGCGCCGGCAGCGGCAAGGGCTCCCCGACGTAGACGCCCGTTACGCCTGCGCCCCGCGTGGGCCGTGGAGGGGCTGAGCGAACCTTCCTCACCGGGCTCGCTGGGCGCCTCCTCGCCTCCGATGACCTCGACCGCTCCTGCTCCTCGGGCGTAGCGGTTCCGCCGCGCCTCTCCTTAAGCACCTGCGGCTGCAGCTCCTGGGCCCGCGCTAAGGCGCGCGCTGCATGGTCCAGGACGCGACGGTGCTCCTGGCCCGCCGTGCCTCTCTCTGTGGTGCGCCGGCTCTCCACGCGGTCGGACAGCTCCTTGCATTTGCGCCCCGCCGCCTCTGGATCAGCTCCTTGGCCACTCCTGCCGCTGACATCTCGTCTCGAAGACGAGGCCGCAGCTGTCCTCGCGCCCTCGTCCTCCGAAATCACCTCCC